GAATTGGGGGAAGGGGAACAGACAAGTTGCTGTCGTTTTGTTCTTCAATCTAGTTGTGGAGGATGCTTCACTAGCCCAAGTTGGCACCATCATTGCGCGCTTCCCGGGCGAGGCAGATCAGTCGCCGGCTTCTGGACGGCCGCTCACTGCAGCTGCTGGCTGCTCACACTGGCTGCTGGCTACACACGGTAGCCCATGGCAACCCACTGCCACAGGGGCTGCAGCCTACGCCGTTGCCAGCGACTCACGGCAGCCCAGCTCCAGGTCGAGCTGTTGTTCAGCATCTTAGTGTGGAGGGCAGTGTCACTGGCCCTCATATGTGGGATCCGAACCGGGGCCCTCTGGCATCCCAAGCGAGTTCTTAACCATCGCGCCACTCGGCCGGCCCTCTATTTTTAATTTTTTAAGGAACCTCCATACTGGTTTCCGTACTTAAGCCCACTTTTCTGTTCTGTCTCTCAACCAACAGAAGGCACCTGATGCTCCTGAGATAAGCTGTTGAAGGACATGTGGCTCATAATATTTTCCCTTGAGCCACACTAGCTCCTCAGTGAGTAGCTACCAACAGAAAGAAATGACAGACTCCAGAGAGAATGTCTCCGTCATTTCAAACATTCCATGGACCCTCCCACCCACCCATAAAATCTCTTCTGCATTTGTGTTAGACTGCCGCCAAGTCCAAGGCCCATTTTCAATGAGGAAGAAAATGGATGGGGTAGGGGGTGTGGCAAGTAGACATCTGCATGGCCAAAGCCAGAGAGGGCCTGGGTCACCAGGCTTCTCGTCCATTTATGGCCATCCCTGACTCCTGCCACCATTGTGGAAAACTGCTGGGTAGCAGGTAGCTCTGAAGGTCAAAGAGAACAGCTGGGAGCGGGGATTGAGATAAGGGAGGAGAGCTTTAAGCCCACACAAAGAAACATCGCTCGGCAGTGCTCAGGCTCCTCAGAGAAGGCGCACAGCACCTGGGAAACTTTCTGCTTCTGTTTCTCAAAGGTAGAAAGCAGGGAGCGGGGTTCTCCCACATTCATTCAACATTTTTTGAACACTTCGTGCCAGACACTGTGGTGACCTGTAGATAAATACAGCTGACATTTTGGGCATCTGTTAGCTCACTGGTTCTCAGTGACTAGAAGCAGCTTATATGTTGGGTCAATGAATTAACCATTCTTCTTCCCCTCGAGAATTCTGAACCAATTAAGAAATAAGACACAGGAAACCAGCAGATGAGCTGTTTGGAGACTGGGGTTCAGATCCACGCCAAAGGGATCCACTCTGCCCCCGAACTGGGCAGATACCCAATCTTCCATGGGCAGCACAGCCTTCCCCTGCTTGGCGAATGAGACAGTTAAGATCTCAGCTCTCCGGGAACTTACACTCAAGTGGGGAAAGACAGACCATACACAGGTTAGCACATAAAGAAGATCATTTCCGAGAATGATAAGCCCAGGGAAGAGAATAAACAGGGAAGTATAAGAGAGGACTAGTGGGGGCAGGTGGTGGAGAAGAGATTCTACTTCAAAAAGGGTGATCCGCAAAGGATGAAGGATGAGAACAGCCAGCCATGGGAAGATCTGGGCAGAGCCAGGACGTGCAAAGGCCCTGGGGTGGACTACGCCTGGTGTGTCCCAGGGACATATGCTATGACATCTGTGTCATCTACTTAAAATGCGTTTGACTCCCCCAGAAAGGAATCCCAGAATAGGCCACAAAATAGAAAGCTAGGACTCTGTTATCCAGTGGGGCGTCTGTCACACAAGAGCTCTTAACAGAACATTACTTTGCCCTGATCTCAAGCCAATGTGCTCCCCACCTTTAGCACAAATTCTTGGTTTACTTTTCCTTCAACCCTCATTCCAAACTAGAACAATTACTGGAAGTGAATGTGGTCCCTGAAGAAGAAGGGTGTACTTTTGTCCGGGTTCCAGTTTCCCTCAGTATTCAGGACCTGGGAGTGTAAATGGGGCTTACCTTAATAAACACTAGCCCAGGTTTCACTGTGCCTTGGCCCTCCCTCTGAAGTCAACTCCTCGCAAAATTCCTTTCCATATCTCTAGGGAGTGTTTCTCAAACGCTCACACAAAAGTCTGACCTAACTGTCAACACCCGTGGTGCCTGGCTGCTGCTCCCAGGCTGCTCCTAAGCCCGGCCACCGTCTCTTGCCAAACCTCACCAACTTCTCTGCGCTCCACCATTGGGGCCCTGGAGCCCTCAAGATGCAAAAGCTCTGTCGCTAGGTCTTGCTTCTCATCAAAAAAAGAAAGAACAGTGTACAACTTAGTAATTTTTAGTATATTCACAAGGTTGTATAGTCATCCCCACTGTTTAATTCTAATAAACTTTCATTACCCCTCAGAAGAAATCTCACACCTATCAGCAGTTATTCCCTATCTTCCCACCCTCCCAGCCCCTGGCATCCGCTAACTTACTTTCTGTCTCTGTGAATTTACTTATTCTGGACATTTCATGTAAATGGAATCACATCCTACGTGATCTTTCATGCTTCCCTTCTTTCACATAGCATCGTGTTGTCCAGGTTCATCCATGTGGTAGCACGTATCAGTCCTTCCTTCTTTTTAAGGCTGAATAACATTCCATTGTATGAATAGGCCACATTTTGCTTTTTCATTCGTTGATGGACATTTAGGTTGACTCCATTTCTTTGGCTATTATAAAGAATGCTGCTGTGAACATTCAGGTACAAGTTTTTGTGTGATCATATGTTTCCAGTTTTCTTGGGTATACACGTAGGAGCAGAACTGGTGCGTCATATGTTAATTCTGTGTTTCACTTTTTTGAGGATCTGTTGCCAAAGCAGCCACACCATTTTACATTCTTACAGCAGTGAGGGTTCCAGTTTCTCTTCATCCTCAGTAACTTGTCATTGTCTGTCTTTTTCATTCTAGCCATCCTAGTGGGTATCTTGTTGTGGTTTACATTTCCCTAGTGACTAATGATGTTGAGCATTGTTTCATGTGCTTATTGTCCATGTGTATACCCTGTTTGGAAGAACGTCTATTCACATTCTTTGCCCAGTTTTGATTGAGTTGTTTGTCTTCTTATTGTTGAGTTGTAAGAGTTTGTCGACTGGCCAACTAATTCTCCAGGTAATCCATCAAAAGTACGGTTTATTCGGGGAAAAAAAGAAAACAAAGTCACCAAAGAGTGTGTATACACACACTCGCCAGCTGGTTTCCCAAACGGCTGCCCACGTGGAAAAAAATGCCCCAGACCCACATTGCTTCTTCCTTTATTTGCATCCCTCCCCTGGAAGTTAACACAAAGTTTTAACAGGATATCAGGACTAGAGAGTTAACAAGGGGCCCAGCTCCACCCATAGTCCTCCCAGCTCTATGGTTAGTCATCTTAAGATGCCAGTTCACTTTTATCAAGTTCTTTACATAGTCTGGATACAAGTCTCTTACCAGATATGTAATTTGCAAGTATTTTCTCCTCTGTAGCGGGTTGTCTGGGCCTTGATTTTTTTCACTGCTTTGGGAACCTTGTTGGAGGGGTCTCTGTGTTGCAGCGTTTTTAGTGAATCGACTCCTTCATTTATTGTTTGGAGCCTCTGTCTCCTTTGGTCCCCCCAACAAGATCACTGGCTGGCAAGAGATTCCGTGGCCGACACTGTGGGTGCAGGCTCTGCACTCGACTCCCATGTTCAAATCCCAGCTCTGCCTAAGTTCTCTGAGCCTAGTCTTCCCACCTGTACAATGGGGATGTCAAAGCAGACCTTTCTGCATTGTTTTCAAGATTAAGTGAGCTGATGCTGGTCCCTTTCGCACTTGTTATCTCAAGGAAGCCTCAGAGCCAGCCTGTGCTATAGGTATTATTGGGTTGTTGGAAAAGTCATGACATATGTTTTTCTATGTTTTTCGTTGCAAAAATGCCTCATGACTTTTCCGACAACCCAATATTGTCCCCATTTTACAAAGGAGAAAAACTTGAGATCCAGAGCCAATCCTACAAGGCCTTATTTTCCTTGAGGTTCAGCTGCTACCATGTTAAAGATCCGTACATCTATTGTATAACATTGTCTGTGATAAAATGGGGCATCGCGTTTAATTCACATACACATATACCAATTCTCCGGGTGGGGTGGGTTCCATTTAAGTGAAAAATTGTCAGTAACTCTGATTTATACAATGAAAGCTAAACAACTAAAATCCTTTCGTGAGCACTTGACCTCGAGGCAAAAATTCCTTCTTCTGGTCATTTAAGACAGCAAACCCGTGTGAACCATTCTAAGGCAGACGCTCACCCTTTAGAGCTCTGACACAGAAAGTTAGATGACTCGGTTTACCCTCTGTTCTGCCCATACCCAAATAACTGGTTGTCTTGGTCACAGAGTTAAGCTGGCCAATTTTGTTTTGGTGTTGGTTTGCTCTCTTTGTGTATGTGTTTGGTTTTCCTGTCAATCTAAGCTGACAGAAGGGAATTAAGGGTCAGGCCCTCCGTTAGGCACTGGAAATAGAGCTGTGAGTAAAAAGAGACACGGTATCTGCCTCATGGAGCTCACAGTCAGGTGATAGAGACAGACTCAACAAGTCAGTAAGCAACAGAGTCAATAACCGGGGAGCAGCTACAGCCATGAAGGAATCCAGTGAGGGCTGAGTCAGAGCGGAGGTCAGGGGACCTACTGAAGATGCGGTGGCCTGAGAAGGCTGCCCCGAGGAAGCTGACATGTAAGCCAAGACCGGGAGAATGAGCAGGCACTGGCCACACGACACAGAGAGGGAAAAGGGCTCCAAACAGAGGAAAGGACCCGGATGAAGATCTGGGACCAAGGAGGAAGGCTCCAAATGAGGCTGGAGAGGCACGGGGGCTGGGGAGCAGGCCACTCAAGAATGTGGGTCTCCAAAGGCAACAAGAAGCCAAGGACGGGGCAGCCGGTTAGCTCAGGTGGTTAGAGCGCAGTGCTCATAACACCAAGGTTGCCGGTTCGATCCCCACATGGGCCACTGAGCTGCGCCCTCCACACCTAGATTGAAACAACTACTTGACCTGGAGCTGATGGAGCACACTGCTCCCCAGTAAAAAAAAATTTTAAAAACAAGAGAAAAAGAGCCAAGGACTGGTTTTCATCAGAGGCCACTCGGGGCTCTCATCCCATCCACCCACACAAGTGACTTTATCCTCTTTTCCCATGGGGCGTTATCAGGTATCAGGAGCTTTCCAGAAAAGCTCCTTCCCACAAAGGTGTCACTGGCTGTTAAGGTTTCACTGTGTTACCATCCAGGGAACAGAAACGTGCCTTCTGTTCCATACCAAGGAAAAGGGGGACCTAATGGCAGAACTCTTGGCTTTTATTGAGATCTTTTTCCTAAACACTGGGTGCAGTCCTAAGGGAGAGAAAATCGGGCAAGGGGAATGTGGAACATATCGAAGCCTATTTAATAGCTCATTTGTTTTCATCTGCATCAATCAGCATATGACATAATAATATTATCAGTAGAATAGCTAATGCTTACTGATATGATTTCCCAAGCACTGCTCTAAGCACTTTATGTGTATTAACTCATTCAATCCATAATGAGCAGGAAGCCAAAATAAAAAATAACTGACAATCTTCCATTGTTATTATTTTGTGTTTGGGACTAATTCTCTTTGAGTGTGACTATGGAAATTCTGAGCACTTTGGGTGGTAGGGAAAAACAAAGAAAATGCATGAATTTTTGTCAGGGAGATCAGCGGCACAGCTTAAAGATACCATTTGCCCTATATTCTTTACCAGTGGCCAAATTTTTATTCAGTTAGAGTCAAGTCAGCTACCCGGTGCTGGAATATCAACAGTGCATTAAATCTAGCTCTTAGGGTCTTTGGGACGTAATGAAGTAGGTATTGTGAGGGCCTTTGAACTCAGTATCTTTTGCATAAGTTTGTAGCCTCATTAGAGAGTTGCCTTTGAAAGCAGAAACATTTGCTTCCTTTTCTCTGAGTGTCAGTTTTCTCATCTGTAAAATGGGTGATACATTTTAACATAATTTATTATTATAACTAACATAGCCCCTGGCTTCACTTCTAGCCTCATCTCATATCTAGTTCTCTTTCTCCCTCTCTCTCTCTCTCTTTCTCTCTGTCTCCCCCTTCCCCGCTTTCCCTCCTACATTTTAGTTATGCTGAATTTTCTTGAATACCTTCAACAAAAAGTTATTTCGCAACTCTGGACCTTTGCACTTGCTGTTATCTTCCTCCCTGTTCTTTGCAGGCCTGGCGCCTTCTCAAGCCTTCAGGTCCCAGCCTACCTGCCCTGACCCCAGCGAGAGCTCCCCGCCAACACCCCGTTTTTCTTGCCTGGATAATATTCTGTAATCATCTTTTTTATTAGCATGTTTAATTATTTTCCATCTCCACCAGGATGTAAGCGCCATGAGGGCAGGCAGCAGTGCCTGGCACATAATGGGTGCTCAATAAATAGGTTTTGAATGAATGAATGAATGAATGAATGGCTATTCATCCAGAATTGAATGGTTCTCAATTCTCCTCAACCTGGGATCAGATTTAAAAAATACTGATGCTGGAGTCCCATCCCCAGGTCTGGGATGGCGCTTGGGCAAAGAAAATTTTTAAGCCCCTCCAAGTAATTCTAAGATGCAGCCAGGGTTGGGAAGCACCAACGTTTGGACGATATAAAAAGTATAACTTTGCAGAGTTTCATTCGAGGTCTGCACCTGGTAGCCATCCCCTAGGTGACACTGTCTCATCCGGTACCAGGTGAGATGCAAGCAAGAGTTCTGCTCTAAAGACCAGAGGGAAAGGATGAAACGCTTTCCATATTTTCCTGGTTCAGGGCAGTGGAACAGCTTTACCATTTGGTATAAAGTGTTGCGAATTCCTAGTACATTAGACCCACTGGTGTTCATGGGGTTATTCTGGGGCTCACCTTGGAAATGTGGATGCCACGATTGCCTGTACCTTCTGATAGGTAGTGAGGTGTCTTAGCTGCACAACCTCGTGACAAACTCTTGCTACTCCCGCCGCAGCCATCTTGAGGTTGAGTATAGAAACAGTCGTCCTCATTTCTGGTTCCTGCCCCACCTTCCTTCAGTGGGTATTTGAGTATCGCGTGTCCATCCAGGGAAGGGATGTATAAATGAGCTTGAAATAATTAGCTGTAGTGACCATGCCATCATTAGTATTTACTACAGGAGAAAGCAGCTTACCCACTTTTCTGTCGAAATGTGACCTTTGCTGGCTCAAGGCCACTGACCAAGCCCTGGAAGCTCTAATTAGTGGGTTTTGCAATGACTATTGTATTTTCCCAGCATCAGCCCAGACCCGGCGAAAAGGGAAAAGGCACCGCTGGGGACTCCTGAGTGCCTTATAAAATGTGTGTTGACAGTGCATTTGTTCTGAGAAAGGCTCACTTGCCTCACAGAGGAGAATAAAAACTGGAAAGAAACTAAAGGTCGTTTTAAACATACTTTGCATGATGAACAGAGACAGGAACTTGCATCTAGCACCTAAAAATAATGGTGGAGGGGTGGCCGGTTAGCTCAGTTGGTTAGAGCACAGTGCTCACAACACCAAGGTTGCCGGTTCGATCCCCACATGGGCCACTGAGTTGTGCCCTCCACAACTAGACTGAAACAACTACTTGACTTGGAGCTGATGGGTCCTGGGAAAACACACTGTTCCCCAATTAAATAATAATAATAATAATAATAATAATGAAAATTCAAGATTATAGATTAAAAAAATATAACAGTAGTTGTGCAATCTAATTCCTAGGACTCCACCCTAAGGACAGGCTCAAATGTGTACAAAAATATATGAAAAAGGATGTCCACTGCAGCATAGTACATAATTGCCACAAACGAGACATAACTGAAGTGTCTATGGGTGAGGGGTGACCATTTAAGTGACAACGACAAAGCCATTAAAAAGAATGAGGCAACCCTTCTTGCAACTTTTCTGTATGTTTGAAGCTATTTCAAAACAAAAAGTTACCCCCGAAAATGCACCATGAGAAAGCAGGATTTTCCCCCAAGAATGCAAAGGTGATGCTGGATTAGGAAGTCCATCAGTAGAACTTATTATTTTAAATAACCAGAGAAAGAAAACAGAAATGAGACAGACCTGGAAGCATCAGCTTGGAAAGTTGTCCATCCTATATTAACTGGAAAAAAGTAAGTTGCAGGACAAGTACAGTATGATGGAATTCATATTTTTGGAACACAGAGAAAAAGAAAACAATAACAACACACACACACACACACACACACACACACACACACTTTATCAAACTAGATATGTGACTTTGGGCAAATTGCTTTAATTTCGCCATGCTTCAATTTTCCCATCAGCAAAATGGAAACAAGAACATCTGCCTCAAAGAGTTGTTACAAAGACTAATGAGATAATCCTTGAAAAGGATTTAACACAGTGTCTGGCACATAATAAATGCTCAATAACTGTTATCCTAATTATAAAATAATGATAAAATTATATCCTTATTATTTTTGTCAAAGAAAGACTCAAAAGCGGAAACATTTAGAAAAGAAAAAAGAAACTTACTTGAAAAGAAATGCAAGGGACTCCAACTTCAAAACCATCAGCTAGCCAAATGAAAAGCACAACACAAGTATTTAAGGGAAACAAATGCAAAATTGCCAAAGTTACCAACTTTTACATTAGTCTGTTCATGATTAAAAAAAAACAAAGGCAAAACAGTAGCATTCTCAAAAGATTACAATACCACAAAGGAAGTGACCTATGGTTAGGCATCAACATCAGAAAAGGCAGGGATGAACTTGTCTTTGCCAAGACTTATGGGAAATACTCGAAGTTTTAATATCGGAGGGGTGCAGGCTAGACAGACAGACCCTGTTATTCTTGTATCTCAGGGTGCAAATTGCTGTTTCTTTTTCCTGAGTGTAACCCATGATGTGCTTAGTCATAATGAAAGCAGCAGAAAGTGTCCGTTTTTCTTTCATGTTATTCGTGGGGAAAATAAAAATCTAGAAGCAAAGGCACCACCTGCTAACCATGGTTATCTCTGGGAAACAGGATTAGAAAAAAGAGCTTACTAGTTACTGTATCTGTTCCTGTAGCATTTGAATGCTTTACATGTTCACAAATGACATCTGTATTTTGTAAAAGAACTAACAGGATCATATAAACTTTAAATATCTAAGCCATCCCGTTTCTTTCTAGTTCTTCCATAGCAGATGAGGTAGTTCGCTTTCTAGGCTCTTCAGAAAAAAATATATAAACCATGCATTTTCTCTAAAGCCCATTTCCACCACCCCCTTCAGTTTATAGCACCTGTGAGAGACCCAAGTGTGCGATTCCAACTGGGAGAGGAAAAGAGTTACAGCCAATGAATTGGGGAGGAGGACATCAAGTCCCTTCCCGCTCCACTGTTAGATCTCCACCCTGAAGCCTGAGACCCCACCCCCACACCCAAAAAGTGAAGTCCCGTAAAATGGACGATTACAGTTCTAGAGGACCCACCCTCACCTCTCCCCCCATATCCTCCTATGATTTGCCCATGGGCAGCCCCTTCTCCAAGAACCAGAAAAGGAAACTAATTCATAAGAGGATCCATGGGGAGAGGCGAGTCCACAGTTAAAACTGAAAGAGGCTTTTCATCTGTTTTTCAAGCCAAACAAGGCCCCCTTCCTGGAATGAGCCCCAGAGAGATGGTAGTTCACAGAAAGGAGGATCACACAGAAGATGCCAGGCAGGCTGTCAGCAGGTGGTGACGGTTGGGCAGAATCTGCCCATGGCATGCACCCAAATCCCCCGCAGCCAGGTCACCAACATGGCTCTGTTGACCTGTAGCAAACAATTGAAGTGGCCCAGGGACACCCCCGCCCCCAATCTCATTTGCACTCAAGGGCAATGCCCAGATGCTAACTGTACCTGTTCTTCCCACTTTTGCAGTCACTGCTGCTGAGAACACGAAACTGCTTTCTCATGCAAACAGCCAGGGGTGACAATGTCCGGGGACAGAGGAGGAGGTTTCATTATTTTTCCTCTGGTGACAGCAACACCAGTGCACCGCCATGACTAATCTCAGAACTGGGTTCCCCAAGGTACCACAGTAGAATCATGTTCGGTTTAGGAGGGTCTGACTATACATAATTTCAAACTGAATTACGAGCTTAGAATTTGGGGTTCTGAGATTCTGTGCACCGACTTTGACTGTAAAGACTCTAAAACAAATTGCTCCAACTTGGGTCCTCAAAGATTCTGCTCCAGCATGGGGGAGAGTCTGATCACCTATGGTTCTGGTAAGTAGCCCGGATGATTCAGTTGCACCCCAAGGATCTCAGCTTTAGAGGAACAACAAGACAGGCAGTGGCCATTCACAATGAAACGTAGTGTTTATTGAGCCCATACTACGTGCTGGTCCAATGCTCACCGCTCAGCGTGCATTAACTCACTGGCTCCTCCAATGTGAAGGAAGTGCTGTTACTTGCCCCCAATTTACAGATGAGGACACTGAGGCCTAGAAAGCGTGATAACTTGCTCTAACTCTCATAGCTGATGAGACATGGAATTTGAACTCAGCTCTCTCTGAGTTTAAAGCCCATGCTCTGTTACACACTTCCTTAGGCTAAATCTTAAGGTGGTGAGCATCTTAACCTTGTAGGACATTAAGGATCACTGCCTAGACCAGGGGTCGGCCAACTTTTGAGACGGAAGAGCCAATTCTGTCCCACACAATTTAAAAATTATTCGAGAGCCATAAAACAAATGAAATCACCATTATGTGAATAACATCCTTTAAAAACTTTATAAATGAAACTATGATAGTTTTATTTTCATTTTCAATTTTGCTTCAGAGCCACATGTACGTACCCAAAGAGCTGCAGTTTGCCGACCCCTGGCCTAGACCAATGGTTTTCAATCCGGAGAAGCTTTAATGGAAAAAAAAACAAAAAACTGTAGCAACAACCCAGGCAACCATCGATGGATGAATAGATAAACAATATGTGGTATATGCACACAATGGAATATTATTCAGCCTTCAAAAGGAAGGAAATTCTGACACTTGCTACATAGCATGGATGAACCCTGAGGACATTATGCTAAGTGAAATACACCAGTCACAAAAGGACAAATATTGTATGATTCCACTTACATGAGGTCCCTAGAGTAGTCAGATCAGAGACAGAAAGTCTCTGATGGTGGTTTCCAGGAACTAGGGGAGGGAAAGATGGGGAGTTAGTGTTTAGTGGGTACAGAGCTTTAGTTTGAGATAGATAATGGTGATGGTTGCATAATAGTGGGAATGTACTTAATACCACTGAATTGTACATTCAGAAAAGAGTTAAAATCGTTAGGTTTTATATTATGTATATTTTACCACAGTTTTTTTAAACAACTGATGTCTGGTGCCCACACCAGTTAAATCAGAATCATTCCAGGATAGGGCCCAGCTATCTGTATTAAAAATAATAACAAAATAATAATGAAAATAATAATAATAATAATAATAATAATAATAATAATAGCAGCCAGATGTTTCTAATGGGCACCCAGGGCTGAGAGACCGTGTTTACAACTCAGAATTCTGGAACTCACCCTGACGTCATCACAGGTTCCCGCTCTCCCATTCCCGCAAGAGGGCTGAAAGCAAGTTGTCTTCACTGCCGAGTCTCCTGGCCTGTTGCTGACTAAGGTGGCCTGGATCCAAGAATTAATGGAAGGTTCCGGAAGCAGAAAGCTCTGTGGTCTACTGGGTGTTTCTCTGGCTTGTAATTGTCTGCAGAGGCCTAATCCCCTTTAATAGTCCAGGAAGAGGAGTGGTTATTCCTCAAGGGCTGTGATTTCAGGAAGAATAGGGGTTCCCGCTGAAATCTATAATCCATGGCACGGACGGATCGAGTCCCTCTGGAAAGGGGGACTTATGAATCCATATTTCCAGGCTTTGGTCTGCAGCACACCTTTGGGGGGATTCTCCCCATGGGAGTTGTGACAGAGAGGCTTATTGTATGAGAGAAGAATGACACCTGGCCTTCTGCTCAGCAGCCAGCGTTCTCTCAGCACTTCCATCTTGCCTGGCACTGGGCTGGGTTCTAGGGGGGTCCCCAAGATGCCCTTAACAATCTCACATTCTGTAGGGAAAGAGACACATTCATTCGACCAATATATATCTATATGTCTATATATCTATATATAGATATATCTATATGTATCTTGAGCTCATTCAATGTACCAGACACTGCTCTAAGTACTAGCAACAAGGGCAATATTTAAAATATTTAAATATTTAAATTATTGAATTTAAATAATTATTATTTAAATAATTATTAAAATATTTAAAATATTTAACAAGTTTGGCAGGAGCACAAACTCAGGAAGGATGCTTTGCTGGACGTGGTGGTAACCCTTAATTAAGTTGTTGGATCACAGGGAGCTCTGAGGGGATTCATAGGAGGGACGAGGATGGCTGGGACATTGGGAGGTGGAGCTGCTATGTACCAACCAGCACAGAAGTATTTCAGTATTTTAACATCCAGGGAAGCCATAGGAGCAGGTTCCCGTTGAATGACAGCTTGGCTTGCGCACAGAGATGAAGAGTTCAGCTAAGGCGCCTGACCTCGTGGATTAACCTTCTAGTGCAGGCGTAGAACTTTTTCCATCAAGGACCAAATGATAAATGGTTTAGGCCTTGCAGGCCGTAAATTCTCTGTCCCAGCTACTCAGCTCTGCGGTAACATGTAAGTAGCTACAGACAATAGTAAACAAATGAATGTGGCTGTGTGCCAATAAAACTTTATTTACAAAAACAGGCTGGATGCTACCCATGGGCCATAGTGTCCAAACACCTGTTCTTATGGATGAGACAGACATGCCCGTTCATCCTTTCATTATACAAATATTTATCAAGTAGCTTCTCCATGACAGATATTGCACTGGTCCCTGGAATATTGTGTGGAACAAGACAGATAATAGTCCCTGCCCGCTCTTACACTCTAATGGGAGAGGACAAATCAATCATGTTCATATGCTATGGTAAATACGAAGATGGAAGTAATCAGGAGATGCAGAAGGGGAAGTTAATGCCACCTGGGAGTTCAGGGAAAGCTTCCTGGAGGAGGTGACTACATGTTGCCTGCTCCAATCAGCCTGAGCAGCACATGTCTTTCCTTGCGGGTTATCTGTCATCACCCACTCTTCCTTTGTGTCCCCCAGTCTCTGAACAGCTACAACAATGGAGATGTCGAAGGATCCAAGCGGCTTGGGAGGAATGCTAAGTGGGTGGCCATCGCCTCCATCATTATTGGCCTTATCATCATCGGTGTTTCTTGTGCAGTTCACTTCTCAAGGAAGTAAGTAGGCTTTTTTTTTTAATCCCTCCAGATGTAAAATGCCTTTTTTTTTAAATTCCTGTTGGAATCTGTTAGGATATGTTACATTATGCTCTGGTGACAAACAATCCCAAACATTTTTTCTTCACTGTGGTTACATGGGCCACGTAGGTTTGTGAAGACTGTCTTCTCCACGCAGTCATTCAGGGTCCCATGCTATCTGAAGCTCCACCATTTTGTAGCTGCTCTATCTAGAACAGAGGTCAACAAGCTTTTCCTACAAAGGGCCAGATAGTAAATATTTTAGGCCTTGAAGGCTATATGGTCTCTATCACAATCTCAGTTACAATTACTTAACTCCGCCATTTTAGCACAAAAGCAGCCAGATACAATGTGTAAATGAATGGGTGTGGCTGTGTTCAATAAAACTTTATTTACAAAAACAGCCATAGCATATGAACATGGTGGCCCGTGGGCCATATTTTCCAACCTCTGATCTAGGCTATCAGGCCTCCTCAGGCTGAGGAAGGGGAGAAAGACCAGAAAATTACACATGGGTTTTCAATGCCCTCAGCTCTGGAGTGACAATTGTCACTTAGACTCACAATTTATTGGCGAAAACAAATAACATAGTTCCACCTTACAGTAGGAAAGTGGGAAATGTAGGCGAGTAAATGGGATATTAGGATTATTACTTGCTCTGCCTTAACCATCTGATCTGCTAAATGGCCTCCTACATGATTTTACATTCAACTAGCATAACCGGTCTTAGTTTAAGGACAGAATGGTCACCACATATTTTTTGGTATCGCCAAGGAGCTCTCATCTCACAAGGAGATGGATACTCTGATATTTCTCTCTGGAGCTGGACTAATTTATTCTGATTTCTCCAACCAGCTGAGATGGGCTCTGTCTGCTAGATTCAATGGCATTTTCCACCAGAGCTTTGACAGAAAGCAAAGTCATGTGATGGACAACCAAGGCCCAGAAACGAGAAGTCCAGATCCATCTCTGTCCCACCAGACAACTCCCAGAATGGCAGAGGAGAACTCAGAAATCCCTTAGCTCTTCTGCCAGAGGTTATTCCTATACCATTTCCCTCGAGCTAAGAGGGTCAGGCTCTTTGGCTGGATTTCAGGAAGGGTGGGTAAGGATTTCCCCGAGGGGGTGAGGGAGGAAGGGGACACCCTTTAGCCTGCCTGATCAGCCAACCCAACCTTGGCAACCAACAGCGCAGTGGGTGTCCCAGTAAATAGGTCAACTTCCTGTCACACAGGCCAAGTCCAGGAGCCATCAGGGGCAGTGAGATGGGGGAGATGCCAAAACAGGAAGTGTCACAAAGGGAAAAAATAGATGGCTTTGGCCAAAAAGAGGATAGGAGGCCACTAAAACATCAAAGAAATCTCAAGGTTTCTTGCCTGCAAGATAGCAAATTGATGATGATGGCCTGTGAAGAAGACAGCTGAAGAATAGATGTGAACACACCCAACTTTACTCTTAAAGAAAGGCATTGTGTGTGTGTGTGTGTGTGTGTGTGTGTGTGTGNTGTGTGTGTGTGTGTGTGTGTGTGTGTGTGTGTGTGTGAGAGAGAGAGAGAGAGAGAGAGAGAGAGAGAGAGAGAGAGGGCAAGGGAAAGGGAAGGAGAGAGGGGGCGAGAGAGAGAGAGAATGCATGGGGCTGTGGAGTATGGCATTAGCGGTGCAGTTTTCACACCAGGCTCCCTGGGTGCAAGTCCCCCCCACCACTTACTTACTGTGAAACCTTCAACCAACTGCTTAAGGTCCCTCAGCCTCAGTTTCTTCCTCTGTATAATGGGATTATAGTAGTACCTATTTAATAAGGCTATTGTGAAGGTAAATTAAATAACCCACCAAGCAACAGCTTGGTGTCTTTCTTTAGTTGGTGCACCAAAAATACAAACCATGTATTAATCCTATCATTATTACTGTTACCAACGTGACTGGGAGAGGACCTCAGAATTTAAGATGCTACTAAATAGAGTTCAAGGCTTTGAACTCGTGAGCCAAACAGAAAGGATGGTGTTCCAGGGGACCAAGGCCAAGTCTTGGCCTAACTCCTAGGGACTTCTGAAAATACCTGCTGCCCAGATGAGCATTTGAGCTAAGTGGGTTATAATAATAGCAGCTGACACTGACACAGAACTTACCATATGCCAGGTGCTGTTTGTTCTAAGCTCTTCGGTGAATTAATCCTCATTGAATCTTTACAGCAACCCCATAAGGTAGATATTATCCCCACTTCGCAGATGAGGAAACTGAGATTCAGAAAAGTGAAGAAATCAAAGACTTGCCTGATGTGTCCCAACTAGTGGTAAAGGCAGGGTTTAAGCCTGGGATATCCGGCTCTGGCAACTGAGTTCTTCACCACAACACCACACCGCTTCTGAGCCAACATGTCCTTTCTGGGACACTCAGTAACAAAGGCCAGCAGATGGCACTTGCCTTGTGGCCACCTCCAGAATTGATTTTTATGGAGGGTGGTATGGTGAGGTTTCAACCTACAAAAAAAACACAACACGTGATGAGTCAGAGCCAAGAGTAACAAAATCAAAAGACCTGAGGAGTCAGGGAACAGACATGGATGAAGCAACCTGGCTGTAGGGCAGTAGGGAGTGGTGAGGACTGTGGTGAATTAGGGACACAATTTGAAGGGAGTAGCCATCCCCCTCTGCTCCAGCCAATTGTTACCACTTAGAATGCAGACCCCATGGGGCCCACCTGTCAAAAGACATTAGAAATGTCTTTTCAAATCTGATTTCTAGATGTTGACAATCAGTTCACATTCTTTAAACATGTGGCGAGGGCCAAAAATAAAAACATACAAAAACCACATCAGCAGCCTGGAGATTATCAACTTGCAGTTTCCGGTGGACAATTTGGCTTTCAAAGATCCGTTTGCCCATGATACATCATCCAAGCAGTTTTATAAGGGACCCAGAAGTCTTCATATATGGGGACTTTGTCCATTCTTAATATTTCTATCTGGAGACAAAGCACTGATGTAAGAGTATATTTACATGCTTGTGACTGAGTTTTTGTTAGTAGTTAGAAAATACAAGAGTGGGCCACCTCGCCATCCTTTTTTCCTAAGAGGGGGGTGTTTCACAGTGGTTAGAATCTGGAGTTCAGCACCAATTTTACCAGGATTCAAACCCCAGCCCTGCCACACAGACCAGCCTGGCAAGTTATTAAACTCTCTGTGCCTCGATGTCCCTATCCACAGACTGAGGACAGAATTCCTTCCCCATCGGTATGGTCAGGTTCCTTTTAGATAAATACCTTTCCCTCCACATGATCAAAGAACACAAAAATGTTTTCCAGAGTTAGAATCCATGGACAAACTCATATTTAAAGCCTTTGTCGTGTGTGTATGTGAGTGTGTGTGTGTGTGTGTGTGTGTGTGTGTGTGTAAGGGAGAGCAAGAAACTAGAGAATGGAATCAATTCTATCTTCTGTTAAGACCAATAACAAGGCCAATTTCTCAGTAATCCTCTGAAATAAAATTCTCCAGCCCCAGGAGGCACTGAATGACCATTCACAGGTTCCGAAACTTTGGGCTGCATACTGTTACCTGGGGAGGTTTAGAGGAAGTTGACATCCAAGCCCTATTTCAATGGATTCCAACTCGTATGTCATAAGTGGGGCCTGAGACTGCATTTTCCACCTCCCTACTCCCATCCTGGGGTGTAGATACAGGTGGTCAGCAGAACACTCTTTGCCAAACGTTGGCACACTTTCTCCCTCTGAAACACAAAAGGAAGAACACACCAACGGTAGCCGGCCGTTAACGGAGTGGTCAGTTTTCATTACATCAGCAACCTCACCACCCCAGTGTGTTATATCTAACTCTGGGCCAAGGAGGGGAATCAGGTTACCACCTCGGAGATGTACCCACAGGGAGGCTATTTTGTAACAAGCCAAGAGGCCCCTACGAGTTCCACAGAGGGCTGGGAAAATCTGACGTTAGAGCTGACCAAGCCCAGAATATGTGAGTTTTCTGAGTTCCATTAAAAAAAAAAAAGTAAGCTATTGTCCTTTTAAAAATCATCAAAGTCCTGCCTTTAAAAAAATTATTCTTTATCAATATCAACAAAACAGTAACCGATCTCCAAGTCCCTGCCTTTCAAAAATTATTTTTAATCCTTATCAAGAAAACTGTGACTGATCTCTTCTCCCCCAAATGATGGAAATCCCAGGTAGTTTATTTTCTTGGAAAGACTCAGGTCATGATAGTTTTTACCCAAAGTCCTAAAAAAGGTCTCATTCATCCTCATTTTACTGGATATCTGTGTAAGACACGTGGTGTCTGTGGAGCAAGGAAAGACAGTTTTGTGACATCAAATCCATAAGAGCTGGGAATCCCTGAACTAAAATATTCAGCTGTTTGGGAAAGAATGCTATGTCGACAGAAGAGATGCAGGCACGCCCCCACTGTGCATTAAAAATGCTTGTCTGTCATTCTTAGAAATAAGAGCCTTCGTGTTCCAAGGTTACTAGACGGAATCAGAAACTTGCAGTCTCTCAGAGTCAGAAAACTCCCTGCTCTCAAGTTGCTAGGGAAAATGGAGAAGCAAATCACACAGAGGTGAAGCATTTACATATTGCAGCCGTCTATTTATCAATCCTAATCATTCAAGTCCCAGCCGCAATCAACATGTCTGCAAGCTGCTACTTTCCGGGGGTGCCCTGAGAATTCACGCAAGGTTAGATTATCCTGATTGTTTCTCAAAGCCTCGGAGCCACCTATGACAGATCAGCTGGGAAGCTTGTAAAAATGCAGATTCTTGGGTCCCGATCAAGCCCCTGAGTAGCCCTGAAATATGCATTATCACAAGCACACTACTGCCCAAAATAGTTCTACGTATCCTAAAGTTGTAGAACCACTGTTCTAGGCTTTGCGTTTAGTGGAGGACATTGTTGCCTGTGCGGACACGTGCCACAAAGCAGGACATTTTTACACTCCTCAGATACCTGGTAGAAGCTTCAATGATTGCTGCTTCCCCTCTACTCCCTAGAAAATTCACATACCTCCCAAGATTCCTCTTCCTTCTCGCCGCATAGTCAAGTTCATGGTTACATATCGATGCTCAGTGGAATTCAGGGGAATTTCCTTAGCCGCAAAACCAGTTGACCATGACAAAGCTTGGGTGTTGAGGGAGACAAGTGTTGTCAGCCACAAAGATGACAAATGACATTCAGTGGGGCTTCATCTCACACGGGGGTGCGGTTATAATGCCAAGGCACAAGGTGAGCTTTGAGTATCATCAGAACTAATTTTGGAAGCACCCACAGGAGGGTACCCCGTTAGAGACTCACACATGCTGCCTTCATCAGCCCAGGAGAGCCCGTGTTCCCTCCAGTGCTGGATAGATAACATTCCTTGGGTTGAGCACCACCTGAAGCCATTAGCCATATGTTCACACATTGGGCGCACGCTCTGAGCTCACATAGAAGGAACAGGAGTCACAGATCCATCCAGGCTCCTGAGCACCGAGCCAGGTGGGGGCCAGGATCTCCGGCTCCATTTAAACAGCTGTTTTTTCCTTTTAGAACACCATGCATAGTTCATTTGCCATGAGTTAAACACACATACTTGTACAATGCAACTCCACTGGATTTACATCTCTGGGTGGTCTTGTAGGTGTCTAGAGAGCCAGGCATGCCCCCACCGTGTATTAAAAGTGCGTGTTTGTCCATCTTGTCATTCTTAGAACTAAGAACCTTCATCTTCCCAGGGTTCCATTAAGGAAGAACTTGACCTCGAAACCAGGTTAAGGGTCCGTCACTTGTCTCCCACTGGCAGGCACGGAATTAGCCGATTATTAACCTGTTCTGCACTCGTAAAGCTTCTGTCTTATCAATGGACAGGAATGAGTCCCCTTTTTGGCCTCAAAGTAACCTTCAATTGCAGCAGGATTGAAAGTAAGCACATATCATCATCAAGGTGGGCAAGACACAAGAAGTTGGCCTTTTTGCGAAAACATAAAAACAAATCCATCTTTTTTTCCTGTATTATGGGCTGGAGTAAGGCTTTCTAAGGATTGGTTTGCACAAGTATGTCTTCAGAGAATTTCTGTGATTCCATGATGAAAAATGGGGAACATTATCTATTTCCAGAAGGTCAGGAGGGCCTCTCTTTGTTGGTTCAGATAAGTTGTAAGAGACATGTCACAGCTAAGTCATCATCAACAATGGAAATATTTTTGCTTTGAAAATGATATAAACTGGTGGACATTGGCAAAGGAATCAGAATAAACATGAAAAACATGTTCCGCCTCCTCCGGGGTAACCAGGGAAACACAAACTAAAGCAACAGTGAAATACTATATACAATATTTTTTGCCTGCCAGATTGAAACAGTTAAAAAGATGGATACTATCAAGGTTGGCAAGAGTGTGAACTGGATACTAATGTTGTTGGTGGAAGAATAGATTGGGACAGACTTTGGGAGGTCAATGTGGTCATATCTATTCAACTTTCGAATCTGTGTCCTCCCACCCAGCAATCCAACATGTTCTCAGTACCTACCCTTCATACGGGGGCACAAAACGGCATGTAAATAGTAGTTCTCTTAGCTACACATTAGAACCACCTGGGGAACTTTCCAAGTATCAATGCCCAGGGCCCAGCCTGGACCAGTTGAATTAGAATCTCCAGGGATGAGGCTGGGCTTTGGTAGGTTTTAGGGGCCCCGAGGTGATCCTAAATGTGTAGCCAGGGCTGAGGACCAAGGATGTGCAGTGATGTGCACTGCAGCTGTGTTTGAAATAGGGGAGGGAAACTTGGAAACAACCTAAATGTCCATCAGTGGGAAAATGGTTAAGGATGCAGTGGTTTATTCCGTGATAGGATGGGGTGCAACACTGCAGTTCAGACATGGACATCTCTCCCCTACTATGGCTTTCTAAGGCCCCACACGATCTGGTTGCTGCTTCTCCATCCTCAGCTCCCAGCGCCCTCCCCTGACTCCTCCGCTTGCACAGCATGGAGTTCTTCTCTCTTCTCTGAGTGACACAAGCATGGTCCTGCCTTTGCACTTTCTGGACCCTCTGCCTAGAATGGTCTTCCTCCTGAAATCCACACAGCTTGTCCCCATCTCTCCTTCAAATGCTTGCTCATGTGTCGACCTGAGCAGAGAGGCGACTGCTGACCCACTGCGCTAGAACAGCACCCGCCACCCACCCTCTTCCTTCTGTCCCCTTATCCAACTTTACTTTTCTTCCTAGTATTTACCATTCCCTGAGAAATTATATATATATTTGTTTATATTAAAAAAGAATTTATATATAAATGTACATGTATATATTTAATATGTAGTTTATATAGATTATATTATACATTTAGATAATATTCATTATAAATTATATATTCATTATAAAGTATATATTCATTATAAATTATATATTCACTATAAATTTATATATTTACATTATATATTTTATAGTTATACAGAGGGTGCCAAAAAATGTATACACATTTTAAGAAAGGGAAAACCTGTGTTAATATATACCGATAACAAAAGATAAATACAGCTCACGTGTGACTTCTGCAATGACAAGAGGTGCTCAAAGTGGTTCCCATCAGCGTCCAGACACTTCTGATGACGGCGAACTACTGCTTGAGCAACGTTGACCAAAGTGTTAACATCGCTTAAAATGTGTATACATTTTTTTTGGCACCCCTGATATATAATACATAATTATAATTTATATTAATATATAATCATAATATTTTATGGTCTGTTTCCTCCTACTGGAATGAAAACGCTGGGAGCATTTTCATTTCATCACTACCCATAATAATGGAACATAACACTTCAGGGTGCTTACTTTGCAGCTAGACCGTCCAGATTTAAATCCAGCCTCTGCCTCTAATAGCTGCATGCCCTTGGGTGCATCTTTTAACCAGCCCATGCCTCAGTTCTCTCACCTGTAAAATGGGGATAAAACAGTACCTATGTCACAGGTCTGTGAAGATTAAATTGTTGTGAAGCACAGTGCCCAGCACATGGTTCTCACTATGTAACTGTTGGGTAGTGTTATCATCACAGCACCTAGAGTAGTGCCTGGCATGTAAGCATTTACTGAATGAATGAATGAATGAATGAATTATGCACACACACACACACATACACACACACCATGGTCCCATTTACGTAAACACACCCACAAGATGAATTTCTAAGTGCATATTTATAGACTTAAATGCAGAGAAAAACATGCCAAATGCTAACAGTGCTACTTAACCATTAAGGAGGAGAATGAGATCCAGAAATGCTCACCAGGCATTTTGCGGCATCTGTATCATTTGGGTTTTTTGCATGTGCCACAGGTGAAATAAAATGTTTCTAAACCCAGTGTTTCTCCACAGTGCTTAGACTCCAAAGGTTGCAGATCTGCTAGTCTACATCGGCATATGTTTCATCAGCGTAACTGCTGTGGCAGAAGGAAACCCTGGGGGAGAAGGCCAGTCCTACCGCCTTTCTCTCATTCTCACTGTCTGTTTGCACCACACAGAGCCTGAGCATCCAGTGGTCAGCCTCAAGCATGGAGGACGGACCTCATCCACACACACCCCAAAGGAGTTTCTGAGGAACGGATGCTCGACTTCCGACTGTGAGATCTTTTCCTCCAGGACTCTCCAGAGGCAGGTCCCTGGCAAATGAACTAAAAAAAAAAAAAAAAGGTCCAAAATGTAGGAAAACCAGGCAGCACAGCCATATCAGCCAGTCATTGATTTAAAAAAGAAAAAAAAAAATCAAGTCTCACTGTTTCAGTTCAGCAAAAGTTTTGTGCCCATTCCTCTTCTCCAGAGGAGAGCCTTGGAAATGTCATTACTTTTAATTGGGGGGTGGGGGGTGGGCAGAGGGATTTTCAGATTTGGGGTGAGAGGGAGGGTCTAGGAAGAGCAATGGATGCTGGTGTTTGCAATGTCAAGTACAAACATTTGCAGCATGTTTAAAGTTGTCTAATAGAGATGAGTTTGTGCATTTTTTCCCGTTTATGTTTACATGTTGCCACTTCCCTTCAATCTTCAGTAGCTCCTCCCCCCTCACCAAAAGCACAGACGCAGAGGCCTTCTGGCCTTTTGTCTCGCTTTGTGGCCGCCTTCCCTCGCTTGCATTCACCTTTGGTCCACTTGACCTCAACTTGACTTTTCACTCAAGCAGATCTGAAACGTACTTTAGTGGTCAGTTCTAGGTACGCAAGCACCTTCCCCATCCCAGTTTTGGGAATAAACTGGCTGTGTTTATGGAATGTGCTTTTTTTCAAACTCTCTCTCTCTTTTTTTTTTTTTCTAGCAAGTCTTTGGTTTTCCTGGATGCCACCTGGAAATGTCACCCATTGTATCTGTTTTCTGTCAAATGTAAACCCTTTAGGTGTGACTGTCCTGGTTTAATGATGCCATTATTCTGCCTGCCCGAGCACGCGAGCCCAGGGTTTCCCAGAATGCAAGACGTACCGCTGGTGGTACACAAGATCATTTTTTAAGTCGTTTACAAACACTGACTCACAAGGAACGTTTCCCCTTCTCTGTCCTTTTTTCAGTCCTGATTACAGCAGGGCGACAGCCTCTGTTTAGTGCTCATATGTCCTTACCACCTTTCTGATACTTGTTTTTCCCTTAACAAAGAAAGAGCTGGCCTCTGGTTCAAAGTCTTCTGTCTCCACAGAATTTAATAACATGGTTTTGTGTTTGCTGTGTTTCTTTTATTAATTACTTTCCATGAATGATTTCCACTTAGGGATTTGGTATAGTATCATTTCTGTTCAAATACATTTACTTAAGAAAAGTGGACTCAAAGAAAAGATCAAATGATTAACACAACAGGTGATATGTATATATGGCCAAAAAAAAAATCAGTTCAAGAATTAATAGTAGAAACACAGTGATAATGAACTTTCCTAAGCAAGAAAAAAGGCAGCTTGTTCTAAGTGCATGAACGTGAGGCTGAGCGTCAAAACACCTGAGTTACAATGCCATTTTTTTTTTTGCCACTAACTATGCAAACTGATTTCAGGCAAGTTTCTTAGCCTCTCTGTGCCTCGAATGTCTTCATCTGGAAAATGGAGATAAGAACACCTGCCTACTTACCTCAGTGTTGCTATGAAAATTAATCGCCATGCTAGATGTGAATGCCCCTGGAGGGAACTTCTAAGTGCTATAAAATACAAAGCATTGTTCTTAGATTATTGTGAATTTCAGGCATTGTTAAAATCCTGGACCCTAGCAAAAAAAAAAATCAGTGTTGATGGACGTCAGATTCCATCTGGCATTTCACCCAGCTGTCCATCACGAGCCAGCCCTTGTCCCAGGAGGACACTGAATCAGGGCCACGAATTCTCAGCACACAGAGATCCTAGCACCATGCCATTAGAGCAGGCCCTGATTTCTGCTTCTGACATCTAGGCTTTTGTTGGTTTGTTTGGCTCCCTGATCTTTGACCCAAATCAAATGCAAAGTGTTGCTGAGAGGCAGAATAAAAATGGTTTTAAGTAAGCCTGTTACCATGGTGTGTCAATTGTATTTTCTTGATGTTCCCAACCTTCTAGAGACTCTCATAACCAACTGGGCTCGCGGATGCCAGCCCCAGCCTGTAGGGGAGACCATAGAGAGGTCGGGGTAGGGGTTAGAGAGACATCAACACGGAGCTAACTTACCGCCTGAAATGCCCTTCTAGGAGGCACTGGAAATGCTGGCCCCACTAAAGTCACTAAGTGAGATAGAGATCTGGGGTCGAGAAGGGGGCTGATTTTTTGCTGGGCCCCCAGGGCCTAGCAGACAGCTTTTATATTGACAAAGTGGAATGACGGTCTTCTCCAGGGCCTCCTGCAAGGCTGAGATTGCTCCTGCTCCTAGAAAAACCAAGAGCATCAGCCAGGGGACTCCTCCAGCAGCCGTGTCAAAAAATGGTGAGAGCAAAAAGTAAGAGTTTACTGGTCCATATAACTGAAAATTCCGGGGACAGCTCCAGGCGTGGCTGGATCTTAGCGTTCAGCATTATGAAGAACTTCAATTTTTTTTTTTCCCAGCTTCAACTTCCTGAGTTCATTTTGGTTTCATCGTGGCACGATGGCTGCCAGGAGCTCCAGGCTTCATCCTACCAGCTTAGCCATGCCTGTGGAAATAAAGTATCTCTTCCCTAATAGCTACAGGAGAAAAAATAAAAAGGTTCAATTGAAAAGAATGTACAATTGATTCAAAATTGGAACCAACCTATCCGAATGGACACCAGCCATTAACAAAGAGGTGTGGCCACCCTTCCAACAGAATTGATGCAGTGGCCAGGGGTGTGCGGTGCCCTCTTTAGTCAGGCCTGGGTCACAATGCAGCCAGTGGAACTCGGCTCCACCCAAACTTTATGGATTGAAGGTGTGGGAAGGGTGGTTTCCCAAAGGAAACCAAAGTGCTTTTACCAGAAGGAAGAGAGACCGACACTGAACAGGGGAAAAAAAACCAAAAAACACCAACCACTGTCCGCATTAAGCATGCTGCTTCTTCCTACGCCTGCCACACAGGACAAAAGTAACCGAATAGCTTTTCAAACAATTTCCCCCTTCTGTTGTCACTCTTGTCTATGTCCTCACTCAACCACTATGGACAGAGCGCCTGTTCACCCGTAGAAACTGGGCTAGGCTTTGGAGGTTCCCAAATGATAAAGACAGACCCCTGGGCAGGGTTCACAGCCAAGCAGGGGAACGGGCACGTACGTAATGAGAAGGAAACACGAGAGCGCTAAGACTGAGGCATGAGCGGTGTCACGCAGTCACTCTGCAGGAGGGAGCACGAGCTGTACCCGAGGTGGGCAGCCCCGGGCAGTGGATTGCCCTGCTCCACCGCTCTGGGCATGGCTAAGGCTGATGTGACTACAGCTCTTGATGTTTGCCCAGTCTTCGCCTACAAGTTATGGGCAGAAGCAGATGCAGACATAAAATCGCTGGCCTCAGCTCCTGTATCAGCAAATTATCTTTGGCGCGCACCAGGACAGCTGCGTTCAGCAAAACAGTATTCTGCATGTATCCTGATACGTAACCTTAGATCTGGGCTTCTAAATATAAGAGACGGTTTTGGGCCACTGACTACAAAAAAAAAAAAAATTTATTCTAAGTCCACATTCATTGGTTACTATCAATCGTTACAAAAATATTCATGGATGTTGAGTATTTGGACCTGGGGAGTTACCCTATAAAAAATAGATCTCTAAATCAAGACATTTTAAATTCTGGTTTGGACAGATACAAAGAGAGGCCTCATCAGGACTACCCAAGTGCCACCCATCATCCCTAGCGAAGCCGCAGAAAGAAGGAATCCCCTTCCCAATAGAGATTGATTTGTTTATTATTTGTTCCAGTAGAGATTTATTTATCAAGGGCAGGAGAGGGAAATACGACAATGCCCTGTGCATTTGGGGGGTCAGGCCTTTGAGTTTCATCTGTGTACCTGTTCCAAAGTACGGATGTGCGGCCAGGTCAAATCTCTGATGGTCCGGTCACAGCAGTCATCCCTTTCCGGTCCGAGTGGACACTTGCCCAGTTCACTCATATACTGGTTCACTGAGGTGCTCTGCCATTTAGTTCTCCAAAGCTGTCTGCTCCTGGCACTGTCACCAAGTGTTGATTCCACCCGGTTGACATGGAATCCTGTGTACAGGGACTCGCTGTGCTTCCGAGAGAGAATGTGGACAGGAACTTGTGAAAGGCCAAATCCTGCCTCTGTAGAGGTAACAAATGGCCTGGCGACCGGCATGAAAGAGGAGCTAACACAGATCCTAACACCCTGTAGGTAAGGTAAATAATATTTCTTGAGCCGCTGCCATAGGCTTCGTATAGGTATCCCTGTGTATTAGTTTCCGATTGATGCTGTAACAAATACTATAAACTCGGTGACTTGAAAACAACCCACACCTATTATCTGACAGTTTGGGAGGTGACCAGTTAGCTCAGTGGGTTAGAGCGTCGTGCTGATGACACCAAGGCTGCCAGTTCGACCCCCACATGGGCCACTGTGAGCTGCGCCCTCCCTAAAAGAATCAACTATGCCATTGTAGCATGAAAGCAATGTGTAACCAATGACCATGGCTGTTCCCCAATAAAAATTTTTTTAAAACGTCTGAAACGGGTCTCACTGGGCCAAAATCAAGATGCCAGCAAGGTTGCATTCCTTTCTGGAGGCTCTAAGGGAGAATATGTTTGCTTGCCTTCCACCTTCTAGGGGATGCCCACATTCCTTGGCTCCCGGTTTCTTCCATCTTTAAAGTCAGCAACGGCCACTGGACTCTTTCCCACATTGCATCTCTCTGGTTCTGACTCTCTTGTCTCCCTCTTCCCTGTTTAAGGACCCTGGTGCTTGCATGGGGTCCACCCAGGATAATCTCCTTATTTTAAAGGCATTTGATTAATAGCCTTAATCCCATCTGCTATCTTAATTCCCCCTTGCCTTCTAACCTAACATATTCACAGGCTCCAGGGATTAATACGGGATATCTTTGGGGGATCATTAGTCTGTCGATGACACACCCTGCTTTCACGTTCATCCCCCTACAGCACACCAAGCACCCTGGGTGATCTCAAAAACTAAACTGAACCACGTTATTCCTCTGCTGAAACCCACCCCACCCACCCAATGCTCCCCCCGCATGCAGTGAAAACCCAAACGTTTAACCATGCCCCACGAAGCCCTACATGATCAAACCCCTGGCTAGGCAGGGGTCTTAGATCTCATCTCCTACCATACCCCTCCCTCCCTCTGCTGTGGCCACACACTGGCCTTCTTGCTGCTGCCCAAACAAGACATAATCAGTCCTGCCTCAGGGCCTTTGTATGTGCTACTTCCTCTGCCCAGAAGCTGCTTCCCAGATTTTCACATGGCTGGTTCTTCCTCTTCCTCTGGGTCTCGGCTTCTCGGAGAGGGCTGACTTAGACCCTGCATCTAAGGCAGCCACCCTTCCCCTAGTCCCTCACTGTCATGTCACCCTGTTTTATTTCCTCTGCACCTAGAAAAGGATGTAGCACATGGCAGATGCTCTCTAACTATTTCTTCAATGAGTAAAAGGCTCTTCTCCCACGGGCCCTTCCCCTAGCTGATGTCCCCGCTTTTGCCGCGTTCATCTTTTTCACCTCGGCCTGCCTGGCACAGAGAAGGTTTTCAGGAGCTATTTGGTGGACATAAGAATGAACAGATATATAGTGAATAAGGGTGTGAAGCAGGGAGAAGTGGGAAAAGAGAGCAGAACCAAGGCTGCTGCATCACCTTGGCCTTGTTTACATTGTTAGCTGGCAGATTTAAACCTGATTTTTAAAGGAAGATGTGACTAACCAAGGTTCGGAGTCCTGTCCCAAAACATTCTCACTTATTCCTTTTTCACTTCTCACTTTAGAAAAAGGAAGTTATGAAAATCCACATACGCTAAAAAGTCCAAGAAGATAGGGACCCGAATGAAACCCAGCTTGTGAGCGGCCTTTCCCCAAGGCCTCCTCTGAGGCTGGGCCGCCCCCTAGTGGAAGCAACGGAGAAAGGCACTTCAGGGTGTCCCTTTGAGGCATGGCAGGCACATTGCTTTGCTTTTTGTAACAACCCTCTGTGTTTGTGTAACTGGATCCAGAAACAACCTGGAGGGAATCTGCAGAACTTTGATAGAGAAAAGAAGCAATAGTTTCCGGAATAACCACCTTACAAGAAAACAGAAATGGAACTACTGCTTTTTAAAGGTCATATTGTGCCCGGCACTGTTCTAATTACTTGGCAAGAACCAACTGAAGATGCTACTATTTATTGTCCACTTTTGATAAACCAGGAAACTGAGGCATGGGAAGGTTAAGTAACTCGCCCAAGGGCCCATAACTAGAAAGTGGTAGAACTAGGATTTGAACCTGCGTAGGCTGGTTCAAGGGCCCCGGCTCCCAACCATGACAGAGCTTGCCCGTAATCACTAGTTCAAAGCACTAAAGTATAGTCTGTTGCTTTTGATCCAGATTTTTGGCTGATTTCCAGAGTAATTTTCAGGCTAGATCACTCTAAGATTCGCTTCCAGCCTTAAAATTCTCAAAAGCAATGTAGATACAATTATTCATGTCTGTTTTTCAGAAACACCAAAGGCAGATAAAATGGTAAAATTCCCAGTGACTGTGGAAGACGAAGGTTGGCTCGGTAGGGCTTACTCTTCGGTCTCTATATTCTGTAATTCTAGACTTAGTAGCTCTTTGCCCCCCAAAAGCTGCTTAACCATTTTTTAAAGTAGGTAACTATAAAAATAATACGATGGCAAATATTATGGCCTGCTAACTGTTAAGCCCTTAAAATGTACTTTCATTCAATTGTCACTAACAACCCTAGACATAAACACTACCATTCGTCTTTGCCTCTGAGGAAACCGAGGCACAGAGAAGTTCAATGATTTGTTCAAGGTCACATAACTGCACAGTGTTAGGATTTGAGCCCAGGCAACTGGATCCTAAAATCCATGTTCTTAATCATTACACTTGACTAACTCCCATAAACCATTAACCGACTCTCATAGTTTATTCATAGCTAAGAGAAAAATAACAAGGCTACTTTTTACACATAATAGAATGAAATGACTTAATTGCCTGATACCCATTTTCCCTAATTAGTTGCAAGCTTGACATAAATTTGTGTGGGCTGAACTTTTGGGACAGATTTGCATTAATTACAACACATTTTCTGTTTGGACTCTTATCAGATATTTAAGAAGCTCTGAGGTCTCACCTCTCTGTCGGAAATTTATTTTTAATAATTGATGTCCATGGAAGAGAAAACAACTGCAGTCCTATTGTTTAAGAATATGAGCTAGGGGTGACCAGTTAGCGTAATTGGTTAGAGCATGGTGCTGATAACACCAAGCTTGCCAGTTTGATCCCCACATGGGCCACTGTGAGCTGCGCCCTCCTTAAAAGAGTCAACTATGCCATTGTAGCATGAAAGCAACGTGTCACCAATGACCATGGCTGTTCCCCAATAAAAATTTTTTTAAAAAAAGAATATGAGCTAATCTGAGTGTATGATTTAGAATGCTCTTGGAGAATCCAATTGACATAAACAGTAAGAGAAGTTACGGCTTCTCATAACGGGAAATTTCAGACTGAGGACAAACTTCACGACTGATTTTCGCCAGCAGATCGTGAAGTCAGCAGAATATGGGTGGCTCTGTTTCTCTTTGATTCTCTCAGTTCTGTTCTCCTTCGTGTAGTATTCTTTGTTCTCAAACCTGCTTCCCTCATGGACGGGGGTAGGGAGTGTGGTAGGGGGGGCCTCAACCTAAAAATTTCCTCACCAATATCCTGGGAGAAGAAAGGTCTCTACCCCAAACCATCAGACACAAGCTCCACTCTTCATTCTCACGGTAACACCTACATCATAGGGCCAGGCCTGAATCCAGGTTGGCACAGGCCCATGCCCGAAACAACCTCTGTAGCAAGAAGGATGGGATTGTCCAGTCAGGACCTGGAGTTGTTCAGTAAATATTAGCTCTTATTAATTTTATTATTTAAAAAAATAAGATTTTTTTTTGTGCCCAGGTAAAGTATAAGCAGAATGATCAATAATGAAAAGTTGGTCCACCTTGCTCATAAATTAACACATGCATAGCAAAACAATGAGATACCATTTTTACTAGTCAAACTTCCAAAATATTTTAGAAATGT